ATGACACAAAGTTGCTCCTGGTTACCAAAGTGGAGCAACAATTATCGACTGAGCCCCTATTGAAGAGTGGTGGGAGACCTGCCTGGCACGTGATTCGCCAAATCGGAGCATGAAATGTTAGAGTCGCGGCAAATTTAGGCTCCTTTACCGCTACATGGGAATGTCACCACTGGTATCTTCGCCACAATGAAGAGAACTAGGAAACCCTTTTTCAGGGTATCCCAGACAAAGTAACGCGTTAAGTAGATACTTTCTGCTCGGCATTTGCGACTGCGATTAACAATACAATAGAGACTGAGGGTCGTTCACTGTCAAAGGCTGAGAGGTGCGACCAAAAGCTAACGTGAGAGCCCCAGAAGCCGCCATGGATTCGCAGGTAAAGTAATTCGACATCTCGAACCGAGCGGAGCATTGCACCTCGCGAGAGATCTACGGGACGAACCTCCAACAGGTCATAATGAGGCTATGTACATAGACGGATACATGGATTTCGACGGGAACGTTGGGAACAGCTGGCCTCGATTCAACACCGGGGCGAAGTGGGGCATTTCCCGGGAGTGCTTCGGCTGGTTGCCAGCACCTGTTAACCAGGCATAGCTGCGGAGTTAAATAGCGGCTGAAACCGAGTAGGATTAAATCAATCAATCAATCAATCAATCGTATCTTTCTTTTGTTTTTCTTTGCGTCTTTGGCCAGCGGCACGTGAGTTAGCATGGGGTTCATATGTGTAGGAGATACACAGATTGAATGAAACAAAGTACAGAAAGCATCATGCGCGGACCACCGACAAAGTAACCATTAAGCTTAGAAAAAGCATAGCTATAGAAGTGGTTATGAGCCGAGCAAGACTACCAATAAGAATTCTTTGCAAGTACGCCGTCTTATCTTCCAAGGGAGACTGGGGCTATATCTAATCATCCGCGCAAGAATCGTGCGAGAGGACAGACACGGCAGAGAGAAAAAGACACGGACAGCCTGCCTACATAGCCTCGAGAGAATGATAATCTCCCGCCGAGACCACGCCGAAAGGTCCAATCCGATCCCCAAACCCTACTAACACAAACATGATTACCAAGAAACGACTGCGTTGCGTCTCTAGCTTGGCAAAATAGTATCGACTGATACTGGCCAATCCTGGCCCATAAAGTGTTGTTTCCGACTAAATTTCCCCGTGCGAATAGTCTTGCGCGGTGATGGCAATCAGCCGACGACGCACTTCCGCCCTAACCTGTCGGTATGACATATCTCGAAAACTCGCGCGGTATGTTACCTTCTCATGAGAAGTGGTAACAACGCTCATGCTAGGCCCTGGGTCCGTTGCTCTGCCGGGTTGTTCAATATCGGCCTTGTAACGGACGGAAGCGGCCGACATTACTAAAGCAGCCGTGAACAGGGGCACCCGAATCCATTTCATGACCTAGCCAAACTGATTTATTCCTGATTGCGGTAGGTATTGTGGACCTAGGTAACGCTCTAGGCCTCTTGAACGTTGTCTTCTTTTTCTTTACTTGGTCACGTAACAGAACATTTTCCTTTGCGGAGCACAAGCCTCGATCGGCATCGGTCATGATAGGCTGAGGAGAGGAAATGGAAGGGTTGTGCGGTCGGCACGGAACGCTGTAGAGGAACACAACCTCATCATCGGCGGAGCAAGGTGCGCGTGATCGATCAGAAATCTTGATACCTTCAAATGCAGACAATGAGTCCGTGGTGATACATGTTGCTGGTGAAGGCATTGTCAAGGTACATTGGTGGCGTCGGAAGATGTGCACATGACAGTTTAGCGAACTCGCAAGGGAGAGGAGTGAGGGCCACCCAGCCATACCCGTGACAGATAATCCGACCCGAACCTGGAGTTACTCCAACAACGCTGTTCACATGTCAATACCTACCAGTTCTAGGACCATAGAGCTCCATGATCTTGGCACACCTAGTCAGACGAACCAACCCCTGTACCTACAGTGTGTGATTTATATGTACACCCCCTTCGTTACACAGCAACCAATATCTTAGCGCCCTGCAAATCTTTACGCGACTACCTAAGCGCTCTAGTTAGCCATTTTACGTCATGGGTTGCCAGAAAACTTTAGCGCTGTGTAAAACTGTTTTTCTGTGAATAGAGCATGTTGCTAGCAACCTACACGCTCTAGAGCAACCTCAGCTTTCCTGTTTTCCGTAGGTTGCTGGCAACCTTAGCTTTTTCTGATTTCCGGAGGGTTGCTGGCAACCTCTGGCTTTCCCGCTTACCGTGCACCGTGGTGGCTTTCTATCCCGTCGTATCTATGTAAATTATAGAGACCGTGAAGGATAAGTTTAGAATTATAAGGAGCTTTATATATAAGTTTCATCATTAAAATAGAAGTAAAAATAGCTATGTAGGTATATGCGTATATATGTACGGTATATACTTGTAGCATTAAAGCTTAATATATAAGACCTAGAAGGTTCTGTAGGGCTATACCTAAACCTGCAGCTAAGGGCGTATCTGGGTTACCCCTACTACCGCGCCCCCCCCACATACACCTAGATACCTAACCACCTTCTACTAGTCCTGAAAAATGGATGAACATTTAATGTACTAACCCTTTTAGTGGGATAGCATATAGTAGGATAGCTATAAGGGAATGAGGTTAAATAGGGTTTAATTAATAGTATAGCTAGGTTCTATATATAAGATGTAGTGTAAAGAAATTAAAAAGAAGGATAAGATTAGTCTACCCCTAGCTTAGGGGGATATCTAGTATTATATGCGATAGTATATAATACCCCTCATATATGATTATAGTTTTATAACACAGCCCTTATAATAGGATAGCACATTATATACCAGCCCTTCTAATGAGATAGTATATAGTATACTAGCCCATCCTATATACTAGCCTATAATAGGATAGCCCTTCTAATAGGATAGCCCTTCTAATGGGATAGCCTATTAATGGGATAGCCTAAGATGAGACAGCCCATCTAGCAGGCTAACCCATCCAGCAGGCCAGCCTACAATAGGCCAGCCTATACTGGGCCAACCTACATAATAGGCCAGCCTATAATGGGCTAACCTATATAATAGGCTAGCCTACAATGGGCCAACCTACACAATAGGCCAGCCTACACTGGGCTAACCTATATAATAGGCCAGCCTACACTAGGCTAACCTATATAATAGGCTAGCCTATACTAGGCTAACCTATAATAAGCTTATTAATATTAGAAGCTAGAGTTTTATAGTGAATATATATATAATTTTAAGTGAAATTAAATTAATCTAGGTTATAATATTTATATTATATTATTTATTAATACTAGCTCTAATAATATATATATAGTAATTTCTATAATATATTTAATAGGATATAATATAGTAATAGTATAGGCTATAGTAGATCTAGTTAAAAGCTAGTTAATATTATATCTACTATTTCTATAGCTAAAATAATATCTTTACTTAGTAATAGTACCTTTTCTAGAGTATCTTCGTGGGATAATGCTTAAGGTTTAGCTAGTAATACCTCAATCTATATATAATCGTGGAGATATATCTAATAAGCTAATAGTATAGCCAGAGGTGTTAGTGAAGGGTGGCGCGGATATTAACGAAGTTAAAGGAGCCTAGACGATAATAATAACACTAGTGTATCACTATCAGCGGAGATAGGTTATTACAAACGCTAATATAGTAATATCTACTTAGAGGTAGCGTGAGTTAAACGTTATTAATATTCTACTTTAGGTGCTATTTTAGGCTATCTCTTTAATAGAGATAGAAAAGATAGGGTTTAGGCTAGGGTTATAGTAGTGTAGGGAGTTAGTGAGGTATAAGTAGATGTGGCTAGTATTAGTGATACTTTTAATATAGTCTTTAGTATATAGCTTATATTATTATTATTAAAAAATCAGTAGTTGGGAAAGATGAACTAATGGGTTAAGCGGAGTATATTATATTAACTACTACCTTCGGGAAGGGGTAAAGTACAGCTGACTTATAATTTAATTACCCTCCGCTTATATAAGGCACTTACGTAATTACGTTCTAGTGTGTATCTAGTACTAGATATTTCCCGCTATAGAGGTATATTAATCTTTTCTTTTTGTTTTTCTTTGTGCTATATCTTATATATACTTAGACCTGATCTGTTCTATTAATTAATATCATACTGTGTTGTTTATTTATAACCTGCTATATATAAGCTTATCCTACCTATTTCTTCTCTTGTTGCCTATTTTAAAATCAGTGATTATATTACTTATTATGATTAACAGGCGGGAGCACTTATACTTTTACACATCCCTGACTCCTGTTACACATTATCATTTATTTAAGAATACAGATATGTGAGAGCTGGAAAAGGCTTCTTTGTGCCTACGCTGTAAATGGCTTGGCCATTCGGCCGTTCTTAGCCCCGCGCCAGAAATACACCCTTTTGTATACACCCCCCCTTTTACATACACTCTATGTTTATCAATTAAAGTTGAACACGTTGTGTTCCCTCCCGTACAGGTCACATGCACTTTCTCTCCTAGGTCGCAGCACCGACTCCCAATCACGCATTTCAGCCACATCGCTGCATTCACAACACATTCCCCTCGGGCCAAGGGCCAATTACCGATGGACTCGGAAATGAGTACCACCCTTCGACGGGAGTACTGCTCTACAACGATGACGTGTCTCCGTCCGTCCTCTTCTTTCTATAGTTATAAAAAGGTTTTGGATATGACATTCCTATACAAGTTAGGATGTTTCAGAACCCCTGTTGCAAAGCTATCCAAATTTCCCGAGTAACTACTCCAGAGTATGTACGGTAGGGTTCGCACAACCAGGGGGAAGAGCCTAATTAAACCCACCTACCCCCTGAGTTTTAATCCCATTGTTTTAAGGCGGTCTGAGTCCAAACCTTCCAAAATCATCACAGGAAAATACCAGCAATTAGCATAAGTCATCAAGGCGCGATACGAGGTTATCGGCAATAACCGCAACGAAGCTCCTCCACATTCCACAACCGGCAATGACATTGGACCCAGCTGAAACGCTACAACTATCACCAGCCGCAGGTTGTGAAGGTGAAGATGCCGACGACATCGCGCGATCACAATTAGACAAGTATTACTCCGAGATTGGCCTGTGGGGAAGCCTGCGTTGGCTCTTGTCGATTGTCCTGCTCAGCGCCTCGGCGCGGATTGTTGATATTGACTCGATCCCTTCTCTTAAACCCTTTGCTATTTTCAATGTGGTCTGCGTAAGTCCCTGACCCTGGAAGATTTAGTCAGCCTCGGCAGTGTGCGTTGCTTTAGATGACAACAAGCTAACTGTCTGACTGCTCTCGCTCTCGAAGGCATGCATCCATTTGGTTACGGTTTCGCCGTTGCTGAAGCGCCCCCATTCGGCGACCAATCCAAGGCCACCCACAGTATGGCTGGTCCAATTTATTAGCCTCATGGTCTTGAACATCGTCGCTTTGGCCCTCAGTATTGTCATGATGGTCATGGCATATGAGTTCAGGAAAGAGAAGCACCCGAGTGGTGGAATGTGTCGTCACAAGGGTGGCCACCACCGTCCCTGTATGAGTGACCGCAGCGCGACATTCGACATGTGCGTATTGAGCTTCTGCATCTCGATCGCAATAATGTAAGTGGTCCATCTTGATAGCATATAAGGCTGATGCTTCGCTTTTTTTTTTTGTTGTTTTTTTTTTGTTGTGGGGATATACCATCGCTGACTGGCGCATCTGCTATAGCATCACTATGTTTGTTCAGCTCTCCTGTGTATGTAAGATCAACAGGGTGAGGTTCACTGCGCGGCAGATCCAGGAACGTTATGAGTATATCATGGCTGCACATGCCGCTGTTGATTCAATGACTGCATGGAAGTCCTGTTGGGCTCAATGGAAAGTATTCATGCGAGGTTGGAGGGCGGGTATGGAGCAGAAGTGACGGGCGGTAGTTGAGTGAAATTGGTGAGCGTCTGACTGAAGGGAGACTCTACTTAATAATATTTAAGATTTCTTGAACCCGGAAACTAGATGCTGGTACTCGGAGCAAGTCCTTCATAACCAACGAAACCAGAGCTATTAGAGAACTGGGACATGGCATGTTGAACAGGGAACCTTCCATCCAGGGGCCTCATTATGTGGACTCATACCCTGTTTCAGTATGTTCCTGGTGGGCACCACTCTGGCTCAAGCCGAGAGTACCCTCCCTCATGCCCTAGTATAAACATTCTTGATGGTTGACGAAGTGGGTCAAAGGGATACCACTAGCCTGCGCCTCTTGATCGCTTTCAAAGGCTTGCCGTAGGTCTGCCTGGCCATTACCGAGAATAGCTATGTGGTGGCGGTGGTGTCAGGAAACGGCCTGTTTGACCATAGCATAGTTAAAGAGTAGTCGTTGGTAATGAGGGGCTAAGTCCTGAAACAGCAACATCACTTCATGTGATTGCAAATGGATCAGCCACCGCATTTCCAGGTAATACAAATTGACTGGTATATATAAAGATAACGCCACCTATCCTCCAGAGGATGCTGTAGATCGTTATCCTCTTCAACCCCGAGGAAGACAAACCTCCCACCAGAGATCCATCCCCCGCAAGAAAGAAAATGATGCTGAGGCGGGTGATACCACAGCAGATGACCCCGCACATACAGCGCGGGGTGAAGTCCCAAGTAGGATACACGTCCCGAGATCGATCGAGGCGTTCAGAGGAGTTGACATGCAGCGTAGGGAAACAACTACATTCGAGGACTCATGTGGTTTCTGTACCAGAATAAGTAAGCTTGGTCAAGAATCATAGTGCTCATTCGCTGACAGGCATTGCACGGATACAGGGATGGTAGTGTATACTTTCAAAGCTCCACGGCCAAGGCCTTTTCGCCACGGTAGATGCAGAGACATGGAGGCTTTTGGGACAAGACTGTGGGTGGCATGTTTATGGTTATGCTGCGAGTTGTGCTAAGGACTGAGGCAAGGCGGCTGGACCGCTGGGGGCATGAGAAATTAAGCACAATTTATTTTCAACCGCCAATTGCAAAGCATCCGTTCGGTTGTAAGATGTGTTCTTGACGTCCACACTGAACGGACGAGGAATCGATTTGAAGTCAGTTGGGTCCCAAATTTGACTACAAAAGCGGGCCTCTCAGCATGAGCCAACATGATTGACCAGCTTGACTCACCTACCCCATCTCCACACACTCGGGCATCTTACGTTAGTGTTGGTACCTGTTTGAAATGTGTGCCCAGTGGATGTGACCAGGGGCTTCTTGTGTTGAAGAGCTGCAGCCAAATGAACGCGTTTTAATCGGCGGCTGGGAACAGAACACAAGCGGATGGAACTAAGTAGGTATATGGTGCGGTCATCGTTGAGTGAGGGAAATCTTGAGTATCTCGGCATGTGGACATATACAACAAGTTGGTGTCATTTATACTTTCTCTCGTCACTTTCCGTTCTTACGCTGAGAAAAATCTTTCTGCATCACCCACAGAACGCCCAGTCCTTTGTATGAGCTGTTGAGTCACGCATTTGAGTAGCCGGTTCATTCTCTGGACCATGGCCTGGTTCTCTGTTGCATTGTTTCCGGTCCGCCAACAAATTAGCGCCCGCAAGGCTGATTCTGGCAAAGGGATACCAACATACAGAAGTTGCCTGCGGCAAGGCCCTTTCAGCTCCAACAGGTTAGGAGCCCACAAGCACTCGAGTGGGTAACGTCTGCTGATTCCGTGGCGCGCGGATGACCAACAGGCGGATCTGATGCCGGTTGGTGGATGCCCCTCTTCTTACCGGCCAATCGGGGCCCAGCTGGTTTTAGGCTGCCAGGAGGACTGGAGATGTTGGTACTTTGTGGTTTTGCGGGCCGGCCTATTACTCATTCCAACCGCACCTCTTGGTCAAATTTCCGATATTTATCCGAGATATGGAGATACCTGTTAATCGATCGACATTCTGCCAACTTCATCATTCATCACAAAGCGATACTCCCATTATACCCAATGTCTGACCCAGAGATTGTACGACTTCGACGCGAGAACGAAGAGCTCAAACGTGAGAAGGAAAAGGAGCAGCACGAGAAAGAGGAGCTCGTACGCGAAAACCGGCCTACTACACTAGATGAATATCTACGGAACTACTATACCTACCTTTACTAGAACTTTAAGCTTACTAATAAGTCTATATCCTCAACAGGGTCTATAAGGGTTAATAGTAAGTTCTACCCTATATAGCTATATCCTTAGAGTAAGTTTACTAACTTATTATACTAATAATAGTTTAAGGTAATTAGGAGGGCCTATAAAAATAAGTAACTCTTTAATTAATAGAGTACTACTTAGGATATAGGAAGGAGTATTTCCGCTAAGCTAGTAGCTAATAAGAGTATAATTATATATTTTAAAAAAGTTATAACTAAAGATACTATTATTACTATTTTTAAGTATCTATAAGGCTAGGAAGTAATATATATAAAGTATAGATTTAGTAGCCTATAATTTAGTAATAATAGCCATAAAATTATATAATTAAGTAGTAGAATTTAACTAGTGAATAAGGGAGATCTAGATAAAGATAGGCTAGAGAGGTGACTTTAAATTAGGCTAAATAAATAAATAGCTTCTAAGTAGAGAGTGAAGCCTTAGCTAATAAATCCTAATAGATTTAGGCTCTAAATATAACTTAGTAGTAATAAAAGTATAGTATTTATTTATTATTATAAGGTAGCCTATAAAGTTATAGCTAAATATATTAGATTAACTATTATAAAGGAAACACTATTTATAGAAGTTATTAAGTAACTTAATAGTAATAAGTCTAGGATAGGTACTAAGCTAGAATAATTTAAGGTAGAAGTATAGATCACTATAGTACTTATATAAGTCTTTAACTATATAGTTAACTATAGGGTTATATATAGCTATATTATAATAGGCTAGTCCCTACTACTACTTTACTTTAACTAAGTTAATCTATAGATACTATATTATTATCTATATATACTAGATAAAGATATAGGTAAGATATTAATCTTAAATTAGGCTAATAAAATAATCTATATAGTAGTAGCTTAACTATTAAGCTTACTCTTATTAAGTCTTAAATCTAATATACTTTAAGGGGTTAAACTTAATATAGCTCTAGAGAGCGTAAATATAGCACTAGTGAGGTAGCTAGAACTATATAAGGATACTATATATTTCCTCTTAGAAGAGGATATAGAGTTATTACTAATACTATTATCCTTATTACTATAAGAGGATAAATTTATATCTAGGGTAGTCCTAACTAGCTAAGTAATCTCCTTATAGTTAAGATTATTATATAGGGCTCTAGCTTTACTTTACTAGGATAATAAAAGCAATAAAGAGGAGGAGCTAGAAGATCACTTATCCTTAATATAAATAAACCTAAATATAGCTAAATAGAAGGTCAGTCTATTAAATAGTAGCTCTAAAGAAGATACTAAAATAACCACTTTAGCACCTACTAGGTAATACTACTCATAGGCTTATCTATTAGGCCTTAAGAAGAGCTAGGATCTTAATAATAAGTACCCTAATAAGTGCTCCTATTATATAGTAGGTGAACCTAATATATAATACCTTATTAACACTAATAAGTTCACCTACCTAGTTAGTAAGTAGTTATATAAAGACCTATACTATAATTATTATACCTTAGATAGGTAGGGTAAGAAGGGAGCAATAGGTATACTATTCTAATTAGAACTTAAGCTATATAGCTATACCTTTATTAGTAAGGGGATATTGCTTAATTAGCTTAAGCGCCTAGAGTATAAATATCTTATCTATATATAGTTAGAGAGCCTCTAGGGCTAGATAGTACCTATATAACTAAGTTTAATACACCTAGATTAGGGCTATATTCTACTAGGTAGGGCGAGGGCGGTTTATATAATGCTAATATTATAAGGCGGCGAGGAAGTAGTAAAGGTAGATATAGATATAGTAGATCTATAGGTATAGTAGTACTACTTATTATAGGACATCTAGGACTATAGTATTAACTACTGTGATAAGCGTGATATTAATATACTCTAGAATGCTAAGCGCCGCTGTGTTATAATTATTAATTTCAACCGCGCTATACTTCAACTAGCCCTTAAACACCATCAGCTCTCTGCGGTATTTGGCACTAAGAGCAAATATAGAGCGGATACTGTGAAGATTCATTCTCGGAAGCGTAGCCTGCTCTATAATTAGCCGTAGTTTGCGTATCTAATGTCGAGGTAGAAAGGACAGAATCCAGCGACTCAGGCTTACTTTACTAGCCAATGTGAATTACTGATATTACCCCGTTTCGCCATTTTAGATAGTTAATAAAGGGTGCAGCTGCCTTGTTTGCGGCCAAAAGCCCCAAGGATCACATCTTTATTTTGTATGGATTGACCCGGGTGTCTTACCCCACACGTACGTTAGTTTCGACGGTGTGTCGCTCTGGAGCGTTAAAATGTGAGATGAGAGCGTTAGGGCCCTGCCTCAGAACAACACACGCCCCTTCCCAGGATCATCCAAGTACCGGGGAGAGTCGAGATTGGGAGGTCTTGTATATTTGTGTAATTTGCGAGTGCTTGCATGAGCTGCACCAGGGGCAGGAGAAGTGTCATCGCTAGTGCAAGGGGAAGGCTGAATATGTGGTAGTAATTACGGAGATACAAGGGGCTTTGATGGGACTAGAAATGCTTTAAGACTGTGATCAGTCATGTACGTGGCTGGTCAGGCCCCGATCATGAGGAACACAGTTTCTTTCTTGCGACTACATTGTATTTCCTGTGTTACAGCAATTGGCTTGGTTTAATTAATCAGCAGATAATAGTGATGTGAGTGGGAGCATGGGCTGGTATGAAGGAGCTCTACGAATTTTGACTCTGTGACAAATGGTTCGGAACTTTGTTTTCCCGCTGGCTCATCGGGTGGCTGCTGTAGGCAATCACCCATCAAACTTCGTCGCTGATTTCCATTTTTAAAACACGGCCGCACATCTCACATAACACAGCAGGCGGAGACTGGGCCTCTCATGGCGCATTAAGTCCAGTTAGAAGTTATCAAGGACAATCCTATTGGGAGTGGCATTGATAACTTCTATTCTACATTTCAATCGACATGCGAAAATAAGGCTACTTTTCCGTTGTCCACAGATCGCTGAGGTGCTTATTCAGAACGGCGCTAATATCACAGAGCTTTAGCCGAAAAAGGCTTGCTATAGGTAGAGACGAGATGTCCAGCGTTCCACTAAGAGAGAGCGTAAAGCACATACACGTATTTTTGGCTTACCCTGTAGCTGTGGCTGAGGGCAGAAATCTTACTGGACATTGATCATTCGACAGTCTTAATTAAGAGACAGGACCCACTCTGTGGAGATTGTTCTAGTGGAATATCATCCGCTTTTTCCGTAAAGGAGGGGGCCGCTGTCTTACTACCGCCCAAAAATCGAAAAGGGCCAAATGGTTTTAGCTCCTCGCTAGTGGTCTACATAACGCAAAATATTTCCGAAGTTACGTAGGTGCACAGCTGTAGGCTGCCTCATCATCTGCTAATTTCCTTCTATGCTTACATTTATGTGACATTTCATTCCATTTCCTGGCATCAAACAATCAGGCTTGCAGTGGCTGACGTCTCCAGCTCAAAAAAGATGGCGGTATGTCTTCTCCTTGTGCTACAGTGCACGGTGTACCTGTGGCTTATTTGGTTGCTTACCTTGGAACCTATAAATAGTAGTCGAGAGGAGATTACGAGAAGGTACCTACCGCATACAGAGCAGTCGGAGAGAATCATCAGTAATATCTCTAATTTCTCAATGGCTTCCTACATCAGAATTGTAAAGCTAATTTACAAGCTGAAGATGTCATTCTCAATTTGGGGCGCTAGTAAAGACCACCCTCTTTACAAGAAAATCGGATGATTTTCCACAATTCAAAGACCGAGAGCCCTGTCTGCATGCAGTAGTGTCCACCAGCTCACAGGCGTCTTCGCTTAGGACCATGCATTAGCAATTTGATGTGGGGCCCGAGCTCAGGGGTGCACCTCATATAAACGCCAATCCGACGGCCATTCCGTCCGTCTCGGAGTTGGCATAACCGGCATGATCACCCTGCCCAACATGGAGTTCCTTCTCGGAACATTGGCCCCTCTTATCCTATGGATGCTTCTTTTTGCCTTTCTCGTCATGTGTATCTTCTACAACCAAGGTATACTCTCGGCCTCTTGTTGATATGCCTAAAATCGAGTGTTCGTTATTGTGTCTTGAAAGATAAAAAGCTAACTCATCGAACCTTGAACCCTACGTATAGCCAACGATATTAAGCACGAAAGCACTGTCACTGGTCCTTCATGGAGTATATCCTTCATTGGCCCTTCCATGGGATTCAACTTCGAAAGATACTACGCCGAGTGGCTCAGCGGACCCTTAAGCTGTTTCCAAAAGTGCCTCAACATCATACAGGGCGTAAAAGCTGGACAAGTTTGTTGGTGGGTTCTTAGGTCCGTCATTATTCCTTTGTCTCGCAACATAGCCCTTAAGGCTCTCAATTCGCCCGTCTATATCACGCCCATCGTCGTTGATGTCGCTCCCGATCACCTTGGCTATGCCATCTCGGTGTTCATCGATAGCAACGCCCATATCGAATTCCGAAAAGGTCTGACCGACCTTTTCACGCGCAAGTCCCTCGGGGTTTATCTACCTGGACAGGAGGCGGTGTATAGGGAGTACTTTCCTCGATTCATCAAGATTACGAAAGAGAATGGCGGAAAACCGGTTCCGTTCATATCCGAATTCCGCCAGATGATGTGTGCCGTTTCTCTTCGAACCTTTGTCGGTCATTATCTCTCAGACGCAGCCGTGAAGAATATCGCTGATCACTCTTACCTCACCCCCGCTGCCCTGGACCTCGTCAGGTTTCCCGTTATCGTTCCCTACACCAAGGCTTGGTATACCAAGAAAGCGGCCGATATGGTGCTCTCCGAGTTTTGCAACTGTGCCGCAAAGAGCAAGGTTCGCATGGCGGCTGGAGGCGAGGTCGCCTGCATTATGGACGCCTGGACCCAGAGTATGGTCAGGTCCCGGCGATGGTGCGAGGCCGAGGAGGCTAATGACTTGACCGAAGACATGGAGAAGCCCCAGCCCATAGTGCGAATGTTCAACGATTTCGAGATCGCTCAGGTTGTCTTTGTTTTCCTGTTCTCATTGCAGGAGGCCACCAGCAGTGCCGTCGCCTGGCTCTTCGAGATTGTTACCCAGCGTCCCGATGTTTTAGAGAAGGTGCGGGAGGAGAATTTGAAGGTTCGCGATGGCGTTGTCCATGCAGAACTTAGCATGGAGCAGCTCGAATCTCTCACGTATACTCGGGCAGTGGTTCGTGAGCTTTTTCGATATCGTCGACCGGTGCTCGTGGTTCCGTACCAACGCAGGAACTTGTTTCCTATTCCCGATTCGGATGCCATTCCCAAGGGTACTGCACTCCTGCCATATATTGTAGGTCGAGATGCTTAGTTGGGTCAACTCACTCATTTTCATTCTTGTAGGCTCCATATCAACGACGACTTACACGGCTCTCTATAATCCCAAAGTGTACGAGAAACCCGAGCATTTCGACCCTGAGCGATACTATTCCGCTGATGCGGAAGAGAAGGTTGCTAAGAACCACCTTCTGTTCGGCGGTCCTCATAGCTGTGTTAGTCAGCTGTACACACCACTGAATTTGGCCCTCTGCCTAGGAAAGGCGTCGGTTCAGATGGACTGGCAATACCATACCAATCCAAAGCCGGAGAAAATTCAAGGGCTTGTCTCTACTTTCCCAATGGTATACTCATTTGATATCCCTCAGAAGCACTGTATACCTGCAGATAATGTTGGATCTGACTAAAGGCCTTAGGATGATTACTCATTCACGTTCCAGAAGAGGGGACCAGTGGCGAACGGGGGACGGATTTTGAAGAGACAACGGACCATGTTACCAAGTTGAGAAGCAACTTACTGTGGGCAACCCTCGGCCAATGGAAAGTAGTCGACAAAATGGTTCCTGGAGAAAGAAGGGATCGCAACGATTTTCGCTAGGTCGGCAAGCCACTCCTGCCTGACAAGCTCAACGTCGCATTCCGTTGAGAGAAACCATGGCATTGAATTGGGAGGCTTCCAAAATGAAAATAAAATTAATCCTAGCCTCCTGTTTCTTTCTCAGAGGTGCAATTCATAATAGCTACTAGTGCCCGATGAATAAAAATCACGAATTGCCTTAGGAACCACTGATTGTGTGCTCATTCGTATAGCATATCCGCTCCCTGGTGACGAGGTGAGAACGGCTGAGATAAACATGGCTTTGAAATACTTACCCTCTCGCAGACAGAGCAGGATCGACTAGGTGCGACGCCTATGCAATGGGGACAAAGAGTATATTGACTCATAATTTGCCAGATCTGACACACCACTTATCGCGATTGACACTCCCCGGTAGCCTTGCTGGCCTTCAAAAGAATAAGATGAATCGAGTCTTGGACCTGGGTACCGGGACGGGAATATGGGCTGTTGAGTTTGGTATTTCATTCATTTGCAGAGCTACAGACGGTCGCTTACTGTGATCTTAGCGGACGAGCACCCAGATGCAGAGGTCATCGGTGTAGACCGCATGCCTATCCAATCAAGTTGGTAAGTATTGATACTATGATATTTACTATCCACTGACTCTATATAGGCTTCCTCCAAACTTGTCTTTCGAGATTGATAATGTGGAGGATACTTGGACCTGGGCGAAGCCATTTGATTATATCTTTTGTCGAGCTATGATCGGAAGTGTCGAAAACTGGCTGAGGCATTCAAGTAATTTTGTCGGGGCGATATCGCTTTGCAAGCCTAATGTAACTCGACCTAATGGTATGACGGTCCGCCGTTGGTGATACCTGAAGCACAGCGTAATAATCGATAGTTACTTTTAGTAGCCATCTTCGATTACTGCCTGAGAATCCCTTTTGGTCTCCCTATCCGAAGATGTGGTCTCTGCTTCCGTGAATTACCTGGTCTGTATATTCGGAGTGGGGATGCTATCGGGTACCAAGCAAAAGCATTTAAGATTTAAGGTTCGCCTCAAGAACAATGATAAGATTCACTGCAACGAGTGGCAGTCGGTAGTTAGCATATATTATTTCAAGTTTATGTACGAACTTACATGCATACCTACATACACCATGTTAATTGTTTCTTATTTTGCATTATCTTAGCTATATATGTAGCCCCACGTACATCATGTATAATATAATATAATTTATTACGCCTGGCGGCTTATTTTAGCTAATAGGGCATTAGTCACTAATTTATATATATATTACCTAGTTATTATCCTTACCTCCCTAAGCCTATACTATACTATACATTACTTAATCTATATCTATATTTCCTAAAGCTTAGATTATACTATACTTTTCACTATATAAATTAAAATAGGTCTCCTTAAGCCTATAATACGCCTATTCCTTAATTATACTTTTCCTTCTACCCTATTACTCCCTGCGGTTTCCTATGATTTACTAGTATAGCTAGCGAACTAGCTTAAAGGCTATTCTTTAAGTATTTAATATCCTATCTATAGTAGCTAAAGCGATATCTACTTTTATAAGATAGGGTATTTAGTATTTAATATAAGTAGGTTAAGAAGAGTAAGTAGATGAGATTCTTATAATCTAGTTTTAGTATTATATATTAAGTTAGCCTATAGCTATTATAAATTATATAGTTATATAGATTACCTATATATTTAGTGTCTACTTTACATTATTTAATAATAATTTTCCTCCTAGGTAGAATAAGAGGTTTCCTCTTAATGCCTCTATATACTATAATATTTTAGTCCTATACACTATCTATTTTATATATTAAAAGAGAAAGTGCTCTACTATCTCTATCGCTTACTTATATATATATTACTATAATACTATTACTCTAATCCGGAAGAGGTACCCATTCAGTCTAGCTATGCCTGTCCTAAGCTGTGATAGCACGCTGGCTTCTCTCTGTGATAAGCTATTATAGAGCAGTCGGGTGTGCTTGCCTGGGAGTGCAGCATCGACCTTCTTTAAAAACCTCCCGACGTTATCTAGTAGCTATTTCCTAGTACGCTTACCTAATTATGCTAGGTTTAAGGTCGTTGATCGCATTCTGGGAAACTTCCGGGCCGGGATGACACGTACATTTGAGCTAGAAAGCAGCTCTTTGTAGTTTGGAGAGGGAATGGCATATGCTATGTAAGCAGAAATAACTGACATAAGCCATGCTGCTGCATTCTTGGCACTCCTCTATGCTTATCGATAAGAACACAAATAAAGGCTCAAATCTTGTACCAGTTCGCAATATGCCTTTCAGCGACACATCTCTGCACCACAACTGCGGATGATGTTTCCAGAAGTTCAACCGATCGTATACTAAATGTCGCGGCAACGGACAGGAATTAGTGAGGTGAGATTGCTCATCAGCAGTTGTTGCCTGCAACCAACGGAGAGGTAGGGTTCAACTGCATTTGCGAACTCTTGAGTTCGCATTTCCAGCGCAACTCCAGAGGTGGTGAAACATATTGAGGAACGCGATAAGAAATCCTCTGGCAAATGACGTTTTTACCAGTGACGTTAATACACAGTTTTCTAAGTGATGGTTTGCTAACTATCATACTTTAATCACTGCACAACGCTGCGTTTGCTAAAGCATCTGCCTCACAGTTAATGTCGCGTGGCACATGATACCACCGCACCTGAACACCAATCATAGAGAGCAGCTTCGTCTCCTTAGATAGCATCCGAAATCCCTCACTATTCTTAACCACCTAGTCTGGACTATTGTAATAACTTCCATTGCGCTGATTGAAGGTCCACTGCGGCATGTGTTCGCAAATGCAATCAACCGGGTAGCTTGAATCGGTTGCCAGGATGAGTCGGAAATGGTGAGCGTCTTGCAGAGTATCTGGAAAGGAGGTCTCAAGCAGAGTACGGTGCTCTGGGACAACTGTAGAGCGGACCTGACGCATGGCTTCTTCTACGGCCATAACTTCTGCGAGCTGGTCTGTTGGGGAGCTCGTATCTGCAAGGCGAGAGAATGGAGCGTTTATGCAAGCACCGATTGTGGCAAAAAGAACAATAGAACCATATCACATGGGTGGGTGGGTAGCCCATGGTCGGGTATTCGCCGGGTATTGCTTCATCTATCGATGCGGTGACTCTCAGCCAATCATCAAATGCTAGGTATCCTCTGATTTTCGCCTCTAATTGGCTCATCGACTCACTCACGTGATCTTTCTCACCAAGCTTCAGCTTGGGAGCTTGGTCATTTAACCGCCAAGCTTCCGAGGTTCAACCGTATATCTTAAGTGTGACGAAGCAGGTCACAAGCTACGCGGCACACAGTTGGGGACATCAAGGGTATTATTGAGATACTTATCCCTCTAGCAAAAGGAGGGAAAATGTAAGCTATTTATGTACCTATGGAATATCCCAGATGGATGTTATCACGTGATGAGTATCCGTATCCACCCTTCGTAACTTGACACTGTTGCTGTCTAGCTAAAGAGACAGAGCAGAAGATATATGTATATTTGGGCGGCCGGATTAGTAGTCGGACCGAGCACGCTTATGGGTCCCGTTCTGTATTGGATTTAGGGGAAGCGCTCTAGCCAATCGCAGAGCATAGAAATAAAGGGTTAAAAGATTCATTGAAAACTGCCTTGAACTTCAAAGCTTAAATTCATAAATCGCTTTCCCGTTCAAGAGCGCATTTTTGGTTGTGCGAAAGCGCCTCTTTAATTTTCAACTCCTAGGTATAATTTGCGAATCTGAAAGTGGAGTAGATACGGTTGAACCTCGGCAGCTTGCTGCCTGATGACTAAGTCGTTCAAGTTTTCTGTGTTACCTCCCTTAGCGCGCTATGCCTTATTTGAGCCCGCTGCGGCTTCTTTGGTCGCCTGTGCCTGGCCTGATGTAATTCGCTATGGTTTCCCTTTGGTCGCATTACAACAAACCGATTACGAGCACTCGCTATCCACCCTCCACCCTTCTTCAAATAGGTCGTTGGGCTCTATAACATCGGGACCCTGTAGTGCCCGCTCGAATCTACGGTCTCTGGAGGAGCGACTCCAGTGGCACGACGCATCAACACCATTAAGTAATCCGTTGCCCCTTAACTCTTGACCTTAGACTTATATCGATATTAAACTAACTCCACTGCTCTAGCACCGACCTAATATTCGATTTCCACCCTCCCACACGATGCCATGAGTGCTCTGATGGACACGGAAAAGTTGCTGCAGCGTTTACCAAAGGCGGAGGGGAGAGCTGAACGAGAGAAGGAGTGAGCCAACCAAGAGAAGGAGCGAGTTACAACATCAGACAGATTCGCGCATGCCCTTACCTAAACTAACCTAAACCAAGAGGGATGGAACCCCTGCACAACTGAACATTAACCGCATAAGGCTAGGCTGGGAGGCGTTGAGTCATCTTCAGGTGGAGCTAGGTTTAAACACTTCTAATTTAGATAAGCCTAGATATCGCTTGCCATAGGGTTTACAGCTTCTACCCATACAGTCCAGAACATGTGTCTAGAAACTGAGACAGTATCGAGAACTTAGACAGCGCCTAGCAGCCTGCCGAGCTAGGTAGCTTGCAGGGACATCTCATACAAAACGGACAGCCCTGCCTAGATGCATTAACAACACTATCCCCTACCATTAAATCTGAGCGTTTTCTATTAATTAGGGCAAAGACTCTGGTGCTCAAAAAATTGTCGGTATTTAACCCAATATCCGAACACTAATTCAGCTAAGGATAAAAATTTCTGAACTTTAGGCAATGTGTCAACAGAACGAAATAAAATACGATTGTGGATGTACTCAGTTTGATTATGTGGAGGCATGTAGTGCACTTCCCAAGTTATTGAACAAGAGTGCTGAGGAGGCAAAGGGTTGCAAGATGATCGAGGGTTGCAAGATGATCGAGGGTTGCAAGGGGCCATCTGACCAACCTAAGTATCGGCGAGAGTCTGATCTCTGTGGCACGCATAAATACATCAACAACCGAGGTTTGGAGACAGGCAATGGCAAATAAAATTATCCCCAAGCGTCTCTATTGCGTCCAAGCTGGAAAGAAGCATTATGAGCACTTCACCGCCACATATGTTGGCGCAAACTATTGCGGTCGTTGCGGGCTGGCCCACCCCTTTCGACCCCAGCATCGTCCAAAACCCCGGCACTCCCGGGTCAGTGCGATGAGGTGATGGAGGTTGAAGGCTCTTCGTCCCTACAACTAGTCAGCCCAGCAAGCCAGTTGCTGCAAGACAGACCAAAGCCTGTATCATCTATCGGTGAAAAAAAATGGGCTAATGTGTGATATAGCGGGGTTAAGTGTGTTGCACATACCTTGCAATACGACTTCCCTTGTTCTTGAGACCCCAAGCTATAATTTATGGACGGAGGATATGGCGATCTCTCTCTCCAATGTCAAGTACTTAGACATCGCTTTGCCTGTCCGGAGTATCGACTACCCTGCAATGCAGGATGGTCCATTGTACCGAATTATGTTTAACGCCATCCTGCGAGACGAGGAGCGTGAGAATATTGTGAAATGGCATACTGTTAGCATGGAGCGTGCCTTCTACAGTGGCACATATCTTTGCAAGGCCTGCGTAGTCGACGGTACACCGCTCGGATTTGCTGGCTGGGCATTGGATAACACAACTATTTGCAGTAAGCCAGATCAACCGAAAAAGAGCTCCAAAGAAGGAAATTACCTTCCAGACACACTTGATATAACTGCGTGGCTGAAGGCATCTAAAGCTCTGATGAATGAGCGGAAACGCATCCTCAGTAACCTTAATAATGTATTGCGTAAGTAGCATATGTTTAACTCGCGGCTCTGATCTCTAAACTTCCAATAGGTTTAACTTTCATGTCTGTACATACGGAACACCGGAACCAAGGAGTTGGTTCATTCATGATGAAATGGATTTGTCAAGAGGCCGACCGACACAATAGGCCTATATATGTACTGGCATCGCCAGCAGGCATCCCTCTATATTCAAAGTTCGACTTTGAGACTGTCGGCCAGGTAGACACAGGGAAGGGCGTGATCACAAGTATGTTACGGAAAAGCAGATAAAGAGCTGGATCAAGTACACGGAACACACGTTTACGTTTTCTTGTTGTTGTGACAAATGATCGTGTGACAAAACTCCCAAACTACAAGGCATGTGTTTGGGAGCAACGCTGTGCCGGGGTGATTGAATTCAATGAATTTTACACTACAGGTCTCCATGATTTCTCGATTGTCCTCGGGTCTGCCTCTCGTAGACGCTGCAGCAACTTTTCCGTGTCGGTCGGAGCACTGATGGCATCGTCCGAGAGAGTAAAAATAGAGTGCTAGGTCGGCCTTAGAGAAGCAAAGTTAGTTCAGTATCGATACAGGCTCAACATCAAGAGTGAAGGGGCAACAGATTACTTCATGGTGTCAGTAGTGTCGCGCTGCCTGTGTTAACGCGGTTGTGACTCGGCCATTAGAGTCGCTCCTCCTGCAACCGCAGATTCGATTTATAAAGCCTAATGGCCTGTTTGAAGAAGGGTGGAGGGTGGATAGTGAGTGCTCATAATCGATTTGTTGTGATGTGACCAAAGGGAAAATTCAAGTGAATAACATTAGCTAGGCACAGCAGTGAGCACAAAAACAGGCTTAGTGATTATTTCAGAGCATGAGGGACGTGTCCTCGTTGATATACTGTCGTGTTCTTGCTATTATATCCGCGAGTTGCAAAAACTGTACGCTCCTTTAGGCATTGTAAAGAGAACGCCGCCGCTCTAGGTGTGGTGTCTTGGAAGCCGAATGTTAGAGTTCAGTCGGTAGTCAGCGAGAGATATTCCCCAAGGAGGTATGGAGGACAGACCACCCTGACAAAGAGCACCGAGCGCTGTAGCCTCGAGTAAGCCAGCGCCTTCACGGAGTTAGGTCCTCAAGGGCAAGGCGGTCTGGGACACTAGTCTGTCGATAGGTATAATGGGCTAACATTAGTCGCGGTTGACGGCATAACTTATTTCCGTAAGTCACTAAGGTAATGTGGTCAACGGCTGCGTCTGTTCCGAAATAATCCCGAAAAGTGGCTGGGTCGATGTGTGACTTTGTCGCACCTACTCAACATGGCTCTCTGCATCTCCTGCTACACAACAGGCCTGTGGCAGTGCCATGGCGTACGAAGGCCAGTCCAGATTGATTGAGGACCATCCTATTAGAGGCAGTCTCAACACTTTTCGCGATTCTTTCACCTCCCTCTGCAGAGACAGAACCATCCGTCACTCGCCTGATCCGCTTGCCCAGCTTACCCATGAAGGTAAGGTAAATAAACTTCGCTGCGCTACTCCTCTAACTAGGTCGCAGATATCCAAAATCTCGCTCTCGATCTACTTTCCCTCCTGCGAAAACTCCCCGTCATTCTCTTATTGCAATCGAAGATAGGCCTCGGCCCCCTCCGAAACGATCTCCTCAAACTTATTTTCTGCTGTTGCCTCCGATGAGTTCGATTTTGACCGCGTCAAACCCTTATTAAAATCCACGCTCGCCGATGAGCTAGACGACGCCCTCATCTGGAAATAAGTCTATAATGCCGTCACTGAATCTACTCCACCTCCCCGACCGGTAGCCTCCTCCATCCAGCAAACCCCTTAGCTACGCAACACCAGCAGCTTCGCGAATTCGTCGGAACATCGCAAATACGTGGATGATGTGCTCAAAGAGGAGCTTGGCCCTATGGATGTCGGGCTCCGCGACTTCCACGACACATACTTCAAAGAGGTGGCCGACCTGGAAACAGCATCTGAGCCATTCTTCGCGGAGTCCCAAGCAGACAACAACCCACGCTTTGATAATGGCTGGAGTGGATGGTCCGAAGATGCAAAGCAGGAAGATGTGCTGCGGTGGTTCTCGGACTTCACCGGAAATCTGGCGGCATTTGCGGAGCGCAGAAAATCAGTACCGACTAAACGAAGACCCCTGGCGAAACCTAACGAACCGATTGACGGCTCTGTAGGGACATGAAAGATGGATGTTGGTTTTGTGAATGATCCTGAAGCCAGCAAGGACTCGCGGTGCCACTGGTCTCAGATCCTCGTGCCAGAAGAGCTCAAGAGTAACCGATCGGCTGACAAAGCCTCAGAAGCATGGCTTGATCTCGGAAGGTACGCAAGGGAAGTGCTTGCTGCCCAGGACGATCGCCGCTTCGTCTTGGGCTTTACTATTTGCGGGTCTCTCATGGGGATATGGGCGTTTGACCGGCTTGGGGGCATCGCATCCGAACAGTTCGACGTTAACGAAGATAGGCTGCGGTTTGTATTTACAATCCTCGGGTTTTTCTAGATGAACGAAGGGCAGCTTGGGTATAATCCGACCATTATGACAGCAAATAAGGAGCGCTTCATTAAAATCACGCGAAACGGTTCAACAGAGCGAATCATTGTCGACGGGGTGATGCAGCGCGCACGTTGCATAGCTGGCCGGGTGACGACTTGCTGGAAAGCCCATCGAGAAGGGAGGCCAGAGATGCCACTTGTTATCAAGGATTCGTGGCAGTTTTCGGAACGCGATGAAGAAGGAGAACTGTTACAAGAAGCGACTGGCAAAGGTGTTGTCAACGTGGCCCGGTACTACCACCACGAGACAGTTACGGTTCACGAGATGGATGACGAGATTCCGGGCAACATTCGAGGAGGACTGGACATCACAAGAGCGGCAAACTACAGGCGCGAACGTCCGACTCGGTTGAACAACAACCCGGCTGGCACGTCGAGGAATGGCCGCTACAGCAGTCGAAAGCGGTCATCTAGCCAAACCGGCGCTTCTTACCCTCCAGCAAGCGATCCTGCTCCAGGTCTCCAACCAAGACTGCCAGTACCCTACCCAATAGGGTGCATCGACGTGTCATTTTGAAAGACTATGGAAGGTCGATATACAAGGCTACGGGTGATCTCCTCTAGGGGCACCAGAGAAACTACCCATCGGAGACAGGGAGAGCGTCAAGAAGAGACTGTGGAACCGGACTCCCACGGCAGGCTTGGACTCCCAGCTGAGGAGATCACACCACGTACATTGAATAACCTAGACCGCCAGCACGCGGAAGAAACGCTTCACCGGACGCAAGGCACCGTCCGACGGGGGAAGGTCTTCTTACATCCTGAAGAGATCGCTCGTACATTGGATGAGCTGAACCGGCGGCACTCCGTAAGAACAGCAACCTACCCAAGACAAAGAGCTCTCCCTCAGGAGTCCATAGAGCCATCGCCCCAAAATGAGGGAGTCGGATGATCTCTTCAAAAGGTAATCCGCACGTGTGATGATCTGGAGCGGCGGCGTGCCGGAACCCAGGCCCGCGAAAGAGCGAGTGATACCGAACAGGTAAAACGGCCAAATACCCCCGAGCCGACCATCCGTCCTCCACAGACACCGCTTTCCCGCAAGCGCAACTGAACACAACAAGAAGGCCTTCTGACTCCACCGCCCTAGGAGGAAAGCCGCTCCCGGAAAAGGCATAGACAGCTGCACGAGGGATGGGAAGCCAGCAAAATGCTCTGCTATATTACGGCGGCAAATACGGAAAGCATAAACGCAAGAGGTTGCTGGCACCCTGAAAAATCTGAAGGCGAAAAACTGAATTTGGTAGTGCTTAGTTGGCGGCAACCCGAACATCGTGGTTAACGTGTTTATGCTGGACGTGTAACCTAAGCGCCTTGGCATTCTGGTTAATGTTTTCGGTCGCCAGTCAACAGTTTTCCGAGTCCGTCTCCTTGAGACTGCTCGGGATATTATATAATCAACTAGATGGCCTACCACCTGTTCTCTATCAGTTGCGATATACTTATCGCTTAGCAAAGGTATCGAGACTTCGCGCTAGCATTGTTCGTAGCTCAGTACTTAGTTCACTTCGACAAACTTATTTAATATATTAAAAAAAAAAAAAGGTGCGCTTAATTTGTATAAAGTGTGGAATCTGCCCTGTGCCAGCTGGTTATGTATTGACCATTGGTGGATTATTTTCCCATACCGCAAATCAGTGAGTAATATCGCCCTCCTATTATTCAACATAAAAATATCAGAGCAGGAGCTAATTACGCTCCGAACTGTAAAATTAATTAAGCCATATCTCTATTGCTCCGTCCTGAATTCTTCTGAATTGATTTCCAGTCTAGCTCCTCCGGCAGCTTATGGCAGTTTAGCAATACTTGTGCAGCTGGACCTAGTATTTGGCACATCCAGAATTCGATTCCTCTCGGCATACATAATTTTTCCCACCATGGGACAAAAAGCCCAAATCATACTATTACGGTTTCTAATCGGCAACTCTACTCATTATTCAAGTCTTAGTATATCCATCCATAAAAGGTCGACCCAGCGGCTAAGCTGTCCAATTCCGAGAACGTACAAGCTGGACAGGTACACCACTCTCAAAATCCCTATATTTTGGTACAACAAAATCAGAGTGACCGGGATATAGAGGGACTCGTTGAGGTCAGAGGATCGAAATCTGGGCGTCGGTGTAGCTATGGTCAGATGCGGTCATCTGGTTGACAGTGTCGTATTCTTGGCTATTCATTGTATATCGTGGGCCCTGGCTAAGGGTGCGAGATTGGGGAAGGCTGTTAGCCTGAGGATAGGGACAGCCTTGGTACAGATGCGCTAGGTCATCCCTGCAAGAAACTGAGACAAGATGGCTTGAATGGCTTTTTGGCGATGTTATCACTTGAATCGAAGTGGAAGATTGAGTTGTAGCCGCTGGCGGTAGATGTGCCGTCTCGATGCCTGATGTCGTTGGTCTATCGAGTTGGCTAACTGTAAAAACCTGTGCCTGTGCTTTTTTCTCATCGGAACTGGCTGGATAGTACAAAATACTACTGAGCTCATCCTTCCAACGAGCAGCCTGTGGCCATCTGTCTATTCTCTCCTCGAAAATGGATAAGATCGTGGTAAGCATCCTGGGGCCTTGGGCAATAATAGAACGATCTTGGCAAACTAATACATAAATTTATTAATCTGCGTTTCTAGATAAACGTTGAGATCGGTAAAGCCTGGGAAATACTCACTTAAAGGGTATTTGCAGAGATATGCGGACAGTAGCCCGCAAGTATAAACACAGAGAGCAAATATCTGGTCCTCGCCACACTCGCTCGTCAACTTGCTAAAGAATAGGATGTTAATCTGTAGAAAGAGCATATAGACTTCTTTATAAAGCTCGCGAGACGTCATAATATAGGGTTCCTGCTGAGCTTTCGCGGGATCATAGTGGATGATTCTAACCAACGGCAACTTAGCCAACAACGAACAAGCCCATTTGAACAGAATTTCAGGGGTATGGTTATCTTACTCTTCAACCCATGGTTGTCGTAACGCGATGTTGCAAAGCCGGAGCATCATTGTAACTTTAAGATACGCCTAAAAAGACCAGAAGGTCAGCCATCGACACAATTCGATCTCCGTAATGCGGTAAACATACCAGATCGTGCCCGTTTGTTCGATGCTCCGGCAGCATGAGCATGCTCCAGGTATGGTTCTCGGGAAGCCACAACTCCCAGTGCTTCAACCTTTGCTTTATATGCTCCACCTCATGATCAAAACCGCCCTGCCAAGGTTGTTGCTTGTAGTGGGCAAGTTTTCTTTGAATTGTACCCCAGATATAGAATATCCGAATTGAAGATGCGAATAACGACTGTCCTTGATCTAGACTTGGACCTGGTCGTTGATTGGCGGGAAATCTGTTGATAAGTGTAGCCCTGGTCGAAGGATCTTGACCGTGGTTGAAGTCATGTTCGCTGCAAGGGAGAAGGGTCGTGATATCACAAAGCGAGAGAAACAAAATAGATGTGCCTCTGGTAATTAGAATATCTTGACAGAACAACGTCCACTACCGGGTTTTATGGTTAGGTTATTGGCACCGCTATGCTCTTCGGTCAGAGAGCCGCACTTACCAATGTTCTCCTGGCTGCTTCCGCTTTTCGTATTGCCTGGGGAGAGGGGGTATCCACTTGGAACATCTCCACTTTATGTAGTTGTAGCCAAGATGCCATGCGAATGGCAATCCCAAGGTTGATCTAAGATGACTCGTCAACAATCATCCACGCTAGAGGGATTTGGCCTCGAGGGGAGCGCATACATAACTTTCCTTCTCAAAGCCATGATAATGCTGCGCTATACTCAACAAACAGAGTGCCTGGCATCTCTCTAAGGAAGGTCCTTGGCGGATCTGGTCAATCGACATGGCTGACGTGCGTTCCAAATAGACCAGAGCGGCCGTATTGCCACTCTTGTACCTTTCAACTGCTAGTGGACTTAGTCTGGTAGATACGGTGAGAATACTCATAAGGAGAGAGAAATGAGTTGATAGACTCAGGATTGTCGCGTAATTTGCTGCAAAACTCGTCTCTAGGTATAAAACTGAGTTGAAACGAATGTTTACAGAAGCAGCCCACAGCCTCGACAAGTTCTTCCGTCGGTGGAAGCTCACATGTGTCAGCTAGCTCCGCATTTGTGATGTGAGTCCTCGAAGTGTTGCTGGTGTCGCCTTTGCCTTTTGCCGACTGTCGCCGATTAGAAGCCTTGATCTTAGGATCCCGGACGCGTGCGTGTCGAAATTGCCGATCAATGTCGGGTTCACCGCGTACAGGATAGACACTATTTCCCAATTAACATCCCATTCCCCCCATATGCAGAAGCCTATAGCTTGGAGGAGTGCGTACCAGTCCTTTGGATCTACTCCAGCCAGTCTGCAGCTTCGACAGTATGGGTTGTTCTGATCATGGACACACTTGTTTCGCATCCGTCGACATCTGCCATCATCGTGACATGTCAGATTTGAATGAACACGGTCGTGCCTCATATCGTTCTCTCTTCCACTTCTAGCCGGGGTCGCTGTGGAAGCCACGAAGTGGAGGCAATGTGAAGTTAGGGCCGACGCACTTACCTTCGGCAAGCTATACGAGCCCTGAGCCTGACTTCAGGCGCTAGCGACGATGGAGAAGCGTCTGTTGCAGCAGTTATGTACTCTAAGTGGCTACTAAACGGCACGGGGCTGGCTTTCCAGGGAAGGCAATGAGCAGCCCCTAGGAGAGAAACGCGTGAAGTCATTTGGATCCAAAGCCCAATAAAGAAGGCTCGATATCGTGCACAGCGTCTTCGATGGCGGGCCGTGAGAAAGAGCTACCTCCTTTATACTGGCGCTACCTCGAGAAATAGTTGAGGTTCAAAGTTTAACAATCCCCTTTCTAGTGCCTGATGTTGCCCTTTCTTAGTCTAAACGCACATCAGCCTCAGTCACATTTGTATATTGCTTTTTCTAAGTGAATTCGTCTTGTGCCCGAGACAGGCTCGCGGGTGCCTTCCTCAGATAGTGGGCATCTACCCCTACCCACCTGAACATTAACCTCTTAAGGCTAGACGGCGATGTTTCGAGTGACCCTTAGACGAGCTGGGTTAAGACAGTTCTCATGGGAGGTAACCCGAGATGTCGCTCGCTTTCCTGGAAGAGACAAGGTTGCGAAGCTCATGTCTGATGTCAGGATTACTCGGAAATTTAAGAGAAGGTTGATGCGGCCATCCATTACGTGCACGCCTCCCTCCTTATTGTCCAAAGGCGCTAGTGTTCTTCCACGGTCTCACTTCTTACTTGGCTGTATTACGGATTTCCCGCCTTCCCGCTTCCCAAGGTATCCTCACATCGGCCAGAAGGCTAGCGTTTTTTCACGAGACCATTTTTAACACCCAAGTGAGCAAGCATTGAGAAATGTACTTATTTAGCTAAGGATACATAAAACTTATGGATTTTAGGCAATGTGTCGGCAGAACGAAATAAAATGGGATTGTGGGGGTACTCAGTTTGATTATGTGGATGCATGTGGTGATCTTCTCAAGTTGTTGAACAGAAGTGCTGAGGCGATAAAATAAAGGCCTGCAAGGCTATCAAAGGTTGCAAGGGCCCGTCAGATAACCCAAGTATCCTAACAGTAATTCCACGACACATCCTACTAGGATGTGTTGAAATTTGGTGGGTGAATTTTCGCGCTACTAAAAAGTAGGGGGTAGGATGTGTTGAGTAGGATGTGTTGATTAATTGGTCAATAATTATCAGGGACCCACAAAAGATAGCTATTTACCCAGTATTTAACCGATATTTCCGATATTCCCGCCAGGAATATCATTCACCCGGTATGTCGGTGAGGCCTCAACCAAACGCCTAGTTAAACCAGGCCTCATCGAGATCCTCAGCCGCACTATCTACTACCTTCGAAACCTGCTTTATTAACATATTCAACCTTAATACCTTATAATCTATAGTATTATACTGAACATAATGGAGCCATTTATCCATCTTATACAATATCCATTTATTATCTGCAAGCAGTGCAGTTATGCATGCGTTACCAAGGAAGTGGAAACACATCTCCAAGCTCAACACCCATTATTCACAATATCCCAGAGAAGAGAAATCAAGGCAGCTATCCAAGCCATAGATGGGCTTCTACAGGATCAAGAAGAACTACGTAGATATCCATTACCAATATATATCGCAGAGCCAGTACCATATATCTCCCCGCCAAGAACAGATGGGAAGCAATGCAAGCAGTGCCCATATATTGCTTGTACAGAGGTTGGGATACGAGACCATTGCAGGAAAGCACACCAATGGATCAGTAATTGGAAGAAGGGTGGTAACATCAGGAAAAAAGCAGCAGAGGCTCGCGATCAGCCATGGATAAGCGGTGTGCATTGCCAGCGGTTCTTTATCCGAAGGGCTGCGAGCAGCTGGTTCCGTGTTGGCTCAGGTGGAGAGACTGCTAGCCCTGACCATACCGGCCAAACAGAAGCAGCGATTGAAAGAGTTCAGGAGCTATTTAGGGAGGAGGCAGCGAAGGAGGCGCAGGAGACACGAATGATCATCCAGGTTGGTGATGACCGGCTTGAATCCAACGGATGGCTCGAGTTTGTTGGCTGGGCAACGCATCTCCAGGGGCTATCTGTTACCAAGCTCTACAGTACAAGGCAGGATATCCGGGAGGAGGAGACAGCACTGCAGTCAGCATGGAAAGTGATGGAGTATGTGCTCAACCAGGCACGGGCAACTGCGACAGCCGCCAAGGTGGGCAAGGCTGCATTATTCGAGGTGGCCCGAACCGCTCTAGAAGGGAAGCCTAATCGGCCATTTAACAGTAGAATGGAGGAGGATACTTGGAAGCGGTATAGGGATGTGTTCCGACAGATACTATGCATCATCTATCGTGTAGATGAGATGGCTGATGATGAGCGACCGCCATTCATCTTCACAACAGCACAAGGCGATCATTGGGATACATTCATCGAGGCTATGTCTAGCGAGGATAGGCAGCAGGGTGATCAACCCAGCCAGGATGAACAGGATCTATGCCTAACCCTACTAATCAGCTGGTTTGATCATGCACTGAAGGGGGATGCATACCGAAACGTGCTGGTGAGCTGCTTGGCCGTCATGGGCATCCGGCAAGATGGAGGGTGGGAGTCCGTGCTTAACTACACATCGATCTACTCAGCCGTGATCAAGGTAGCACGGATGCTCGTGCTATATCAGTCATACTGTGAGCGGGAGGCGCAGGTGATCCAGCACTCGCAGGCGATGGAGGCACATGATGCCTATGAGGAAGCGGAGAGCGTGTTCCGCATACTGCGCGGCAAGATGGCACGGTTCATGGTACGGGTGCACGGGGGGCCCACGGCCGAGCCGACACCACTAGACTGGATCTTCGAGGCACGAGCATACGGGATGAACATCCGATATAACACACCGGGCAGCGGCAGCATCGAGTGGTTAGATGATCGCGTGAGCTACCAGACAATCCGGTTCCGGGTGCCGCAGCTGGCGGAGATGCTACACACGCTCGTGCAAGAGGCGGAGAAGCTGCTCGGGGCACTAACGCTAAACCCCCCAGGTACGGTAGACGGACTCCCAGAGATCAGATGGGAGCAGTTCGAGGATGACCAGCGGAACGATATAACGGGTTACTCATTCCTGCAGGACCAGCGTAACACATGGCTGCAGGCGGGGGATGGCTGGGTGTTCAAACAGCTCGTGCAGTCCACATCACTCCAGAAGACATGGATCAGCACAAGCGCTAGTAACAAAGAGCACCCACTCAAACAAAGCGCCATTCACCAGTATACCGATACATTATTACAGTTCCGGGAGCGGATATTCTTGCTGATGCACATGCTGTCGATGCCGGCGCGTGCAACGGAGATTGCTTGGGTGCGGATGTGGAACACAGCCAATGGCGGGCTACGCAACATCTTCTGCAACCAGGGCATGGTATTCTTCGTAACGGCATACCATAAGAACATCAGGATCAGCGGTCGCAACAAGGTGATCTACCGCTATCTACCACGCGCAGTTGGTTCTCTGCTGGTATGGTATATGTGGTTGGTTCTACCGTTCTGGCGGAAGGTACAGGGTATCATCTGGCAGCGCAGTGGTGGACCCAGTGTATTTCTCTGGGCGGACGAGGTGATAAAGAGGGCGGCCAACACGGACGGATCCGCACAGGCGGCACCAGAGCCCGAGTCAGTATGGTCACCGGATCATATGCGGCGGATTCTCCAGCGGCAGAGCGAACGGTGCATGGGGACCACGCTCACCATCATCAGCTGGCGGCATATCGCCATTGCTATCGCCAACCGCTATCTAAACGAGGCTTTCCGTATAGAAGAGGATACTGGAAGTGTAGAGGATGAGGAGGAGGACGATGTTAACGGTACCACATCAGACCATATACTAGACATCCAGGCAGGGCACGGGAGCCACATCGCCGGTATGATATATGCGCGAGAGCTCCAGCAGCCGACATTCGGGACAGCGCAGCAGCAGATCAGGTTCCAGCGGATCAGCCAGCGGTGGCATCGGTTACTGGGGTTCGACACGCACGAGAGAGGACGGGCAGTGGCCGGAGAGATGAAGCGGACGCTGGAGGCAGCGGAGCTACAGCAGGAGAGCGGTCGGTACCAGCGCTTCCACCGGCTACAGCAGGTATCTGTACACGGGCAGCTCCGGGCGATGCTAGGGCCAGATGCGGCGTTCCGGGGCCAGCAGGAGAAGGTAATCCGAACGATCATGGCAGGGGCCAGCCCGGTGGTGTATATTACAGGCACGGGCGGGGGCAAGAGCCTGACGTTTATGCTGCCGGCACACTGCTCGCCGGATGGGGTAACGGTGGTGGTTATACCGCTTGTTACACTGCGTACAGACATGTACGAGCGGTGCGAAGAAGCCGGGATCTCGACGCACATATGGCAGAGCCAGGGGCCGAGCCGGATCGCCAGTCTGGTGTTCGTGACGCCCGAGTCGGCGATCACGAAGGGGTTCCAGGACTTCATCCGGCGGCTACAGGTACGGCAGCTGCTGGACCGGGTGGTCTTGGACGAGTGCCACGTGGTCCTGGACGGAGTCGGGCGGTTCCGGCCAGCGTTGGCAGCACTAGGGGGGATCCTGCAGTCATGGGGGGTGCAGCTGGTGTTTCTGACGGCGACACTCCCGCCGAGGGATGAGAATATGTTCCTCCACAGAGCGCAGATCACGAGGCGCCAGGCGTACATATACCGCGGCCCAACGCGGCGGAAGAACATTGCATACTCGGTAGTAGGGCTAGAAACGCACCAGGGCGGCAGGAGCGGCAAGGAAGAAGGTGATGGCGACATGCCCGGGCTCGACCAGGCCAGGAGCATGGTAGCACAGTGGGAGGCACAGGCGAACCCAGGTCGTATGATCATCTACGCGCAGACGATTGCAGCCGTGGAGAGGGTCGGGGCAGCGCTTGGATGTGAGATCTTCCACAGTAAGATAGGGACGCAGGAGGCAAAGATGGAGAAGATGCAGCAGTGGAAGAAGCAGG